TTCATTAGTGGCATTTTATTAGTATTATTGTTAATTATATTTCTATTATAGAAAAGCAAAAAAATCAGTTTATCATTTGAAAAATTATCTGGTTGATTAATAAATTCATCTTATGTTTTAGCTCTTCATTAATCAATATTTTTTATTGAAAGCATTTTTTTAGTATTACAGTTGATTATTTCTATTATAGAAAAGCAAAAAAATCAGTTTATTATTTGAAAAATTGGCTGATTGATGGATAAATTTTGACTTACATTTTAGCTCTTTATTAGCCTATTTTTTTCATTGGAGGCATTTTGTTAATGTTGCTGTTGATTGTATTTTTATTGTAAAAAAGCAAAAAAATCAGTTTATCATTTGAAAAATTGGCTGGTTGATTGATAAAATTCAACTTACATTCCAGCCCTTCATCAGCTAATTTTGATTTTTAGGAATGTGTTTGGATTTTGATAGTGACTGAGAATTTATTGTAAAAAGTAAAAATCGGTTTATTATTTGAAAAATTGGCTGGTGATTGATAAAATTTGACTTAAGTTCTTTTTGTTCTTGTGACGATTTTTTTGTTGGTGTTTTAGTGGCATTTTGTGTAAGAAGAAAATTGTAAGAGAAAAAATTTGATTGAAGAGATAAAATTTGATTTTAAAAAGATAAAGTTTAAGTTGAAATTATTTTTTAAGAAGTGGAAAATCAAGCTTATTTATATTGATATTATTTTTAAAGAAGAACAAGAAGATGAAGGATGAAATAGTAGTGATGATTATATTCAAGATAATTGTAATTATGAAGAGAAGGAAGGAAGTAAAGAAGAGAAGGAAGAAGAGGAGAATAAAGAAAAAATTAAAAAGAAGATGAATATAAAAGTATTTTTGAAAATATTCAATCTTATAATAATAATAACTATTAATGCTGAAATCTCTAATTGTCCACCTGTTTTAGATATTAATGTAAATCTATTTAAATAGTGGGAAAATCATCAAATAGAATTTCTAGTGATCGCTCAACTTGCACGAAAATACCTTATAATATCCGTAACTACTGTATCAAGTGAAAGGCTATTTTCAGACGCAAGTAATTATATAACTAATAAAAAAGGAAGTATGAAACCAAGCACATTAAAAAATTCTTTACTCAAGATGAAACAAAGAAGTGATCTGATGACAGTGGTAACAAATGACTTGACCATTTGGCAATTTTGAAATGATCTTCAAATGACCCTTGAATGACCAAGTCATTTGGATCATTAAAATATATTATTATGCAAACGATAAATGATCTAAATGACCCTTTCAGTATGCCCTACATCTTCCTGGTTAGATATATAATTCCTATCATCACGGTGGTGAAACATTGGTTCCTTATATTGATTGCCATATCCAGTCAGAAATTGGATATCGTTTATTGAAGAACTTTCAGATTTTACAATTCCAAATAAAGGTGGTTGTGATTCAAATTCCGTTGGTCTAGCCTAAGAAATTATGAAAATGTGCATCAATCAATTTGATGACACCTCCAGTTTTTTATAAGTAGTCGTATTCTCTCCAGAGGATAATGTTTGTCTAATAAAAAGGTTCTGCGATATGAAGGTCTTGGTGGTCTCTTCAAATGTATTATTATTCATCAGATGTCAATAGAATGCCATATTGCAAAGTCTATTGAGTATATGGTGGAGGTATTGATGATAAGCCTTCAACTTCAGTCTTGGATCAAGTCTTTCCTCTTATGTCCTAATAACAATATACGTGATTAATAAGTAGGGATTTCTGCTAGTGATATATATATTATTTACAAGTAAGATAAGACCTACTAGGTGAAACAGGTAAATTCTCCTTCTCGCGTTCCTATCAATCCCTTCCAGTGCTTCTTTATCCATTTTCCCGAATATCATCTTTTCATCTATTATGAGAAAGATGATTATCAGCAGTGCATCAAGCGTTTAATTAGTGATATAACAGACATTAATAAGGTATCTTAACTTGGAGTGGATACTAAGCAGAAACAGTATTGCTCCTGAATCAAAATGAAACGCACTTTTTAAAGCATTAAGTACACTTTGTTACAACTGCCCTTTTGCCTCCACTAAAAAATGATCGATTCGATCCGAATCTCGTTAAGATAATTCGAAAATGACAATGTAAACGATGACATGACATTGCGGTGACTATCCAAGGCAGGTTAAAAGCTGAATAGTTTTTGCTGAGAATTTTGAATAGTTTTCTGATTTACTTGCATCAAGTATCATTATTAAATTTCAAAAATAAAAAATTATCATTGGTTAAATTCTAAATAAAAAAATTTGATTCTCGTTGTTGGTAAATTCGAAAGTATAAATTTGAATAAAAAAAAAGATTCTTGTAAATTGAAAAAAATATAGTAGAAGTATAAGCCGAACATTATTCGTCTTACTCTTCACCTACGAGAGAGAGCTTATCTAAATTACCAAAAATAAATTTTTAATGATCTATGACAAAAAATGACCTTCCAGACATTCGAAAATAATGATATCGCGATGATTTTCCAAGTACTCATGATACGATAGAAGTCGAAAGAAATATTAGAAGATTTTGCTGATAGTCTAAGATCTACTTGCCTCATATCCAGAATATTTGTTTTTTACCATATCTGTAAAATCATTCTTATTGGTTAACTTCGAAAAAAAAAATAAGAATAGTCACTTTTTAATGTAGGTAAGACGAAAAACCTAGCTTAACGCGTATGGTACTTAATTACAAAAAAAAAGGTTTAACTTTTATATGTTTAATAACAAAAATTGCATCAGAACACGTTATTACATATGGTATTATTTAGTTAACCTCTTTCATAGTTTAATAAATAAACTTAAACTCACTGTTAGCGAATAAGAATTGTTAACCTAACAACGTAGTGTTTAGGCTTAACAACTTATTTTATTTTATATACAAAAAAAATGAATGCTACGACTTTCTTCCTTAATTATGGTCGAACAATTCGGGAATAGTTTTAAATATATAATAAAGCCATGGCAAATTTTCTTTACGGACAGATCTTTCAATTCTCCACCAAACATCATGAACGAAAATTTCTCTGGTTTGTAACTTTTAACCATCTATATATATATCAGAATCCAAGAAGTTTTGCGCAATGCACTCAAGCGGCAAAACGTGCTCTGATTTGGAAAATTCTTCGGATAAAAGACATGGTGAAAATGAAATATAAGGTGTTCGGTAGTTCTGTATATATATATATTTTTTTTACTCGGTAATCAGAAAGACATTTTTATAAAAGAAAAATGACATTTTGCAGGCGGTTTGTCCCAATTTTTTTTATTATTTTATTTCTGTCTCTAATCATTTTTTTTTTTATTTGTAATTTACAATTTAAAAGAAAATCTTTTTAATCATTATTTCGTTTTTTTTGAAAGATAAAGTTTTAAAAAAAATTATAGAAAATTTTAAATAAAATTTTCCAATGACTACTAACACAATCATGATCAAGTAGTGTGCAAATTTTTAGATAGTGTTTGGTTACTATTGAATACTTGTAGATAATGAAAATTTAACACAATTTGAATGCTATTAACTTGGTAAAAAGTCGTATTGCACTAAAAAAGTCACTTATTTAAAGGTAAACAGAGTGAATGGACAAAAAATGATTGTGCAAAAGTCTTACGGAGTGATGAATCGACTTTTATTCAATTTTAGTACCAGTAGATGAACGTTATTTCTTGTGTGTCACATCTAAGATAATACACAGTTCCAGCCGCATGATTTTCCCGATAAATAATGGGACCTGTTGCACAAATATGCTAAAATTACAATGAAGCGCGTTTCCAAAAAAATAATGGTTTAAATCAACAAGACAATGCTAGAGCTCATAAATTAAATGTTTTAGCATAATGTCTTGCAGAGATAATTCGATAAATAAAATCAATAATTTGTTGATTGTATACCTGCGCGAATACGAAAAATGATTGCGACACAGAAAGACCAACAAAATACTAATTTAATTTATAAAATGTAGCACCAAAATTAACTTCAAATTATAATAGAATTTATTTTTTAATGGATTTTAAAGAATCTATTATTTGTTTAGACAAGCGAACACTCTAAATGGAAAATAACGTATTTAGACTACAATAAATAATTTTTACATCTTCACATTCGGAATTTAGTTTGAATATTTATTTGGACAGAAATATGAAAAGTAATATGAAAAGTATTAGAAATTAAAACAGAAGTCAGATGGCATTTAGAAAACTTGTTACTTTACTATTTTTTTTAAATCAATTTGTTGTACAGCAATGAGAATTATTTATTAAAATATTAATTTTAAATTGTTTAAATTATAATCTTTTCATATATATTGAATAAACAAGACATACTAATTTATAATTTCGTTAGGTAAACGGTTTTGATTTTGACATTCCAAAGATTATAATTCAAAAATCGAGACCTGGCACACGGACTCGTTAAAAAAAAAAAATAATTTATATATATATACATAGAAATTCACGATTTATCGCTCTGATCTAAAAAGATACTTGATGATTAGTAAATATATGAAAATATAACCGTAAAATTAATTCGAGAAGTAATTTTAAATAATAAGGCATGGCTTGGGAGAAATGATTTTATTTTTGCTTAATTTGTCGCAGTTTTTAAATGTATACGCTTTGTTGAGACCTGAACTGAGACATTGGGACTTAATTGATACACGATAATGAAGAAGTTGAGTAAAGATTACAAGTAGAAACTTACGTACGAGTGATACGAGCGTTTTTTCTTTTTAATGACTGATCAAAGAAAACATATTTATTTATTAATGTCATATAAATTCGTTGATTGTATCAAATCTCGTAATCAATAATTAAAAAAAATAAAGTAATAATTTTTAATTTCAGTTAAAATTATGTTTTCAAAAGTTTAATTTCGTTATCTTTGTATCCAAAATCGCCCTTTTTTTAATTTATTTTTGAAAAAAAAAGATGTATTTTTTACTTTAATCAAGTTCTTAGAAATAAAACTACAGAATTTTTAAAATAATGATGATGAAATTTTATTTAAACAATTAAACTATATACAATTTTAAAATGATATTTCAAAATCAGAAATGTCTACAATTGATCCTTCATTTTACAAAAGGTTGAATCTCACAAGCCATCTGTTCCAACTTTTGATGTATCAAAGGTTCAAATAAATCGTTGACATAATATGATAGATTTTTTACCCCGTTCTCCTTTACAAAGTTTTTCAAGTATTTAAAAATGATCTCAATATCATCATTATTACGATTGAGATTTTTAACTAATAAATTGTCGATATGATGACAATGATCAAAAAAGGTTTTCAAATGAATTGGATCAATTGCCAAAACTAAATTTAAATATTTTAAAGAATTTGGTAAAATTTGACCTAACCCCTTTAAAATATTTGAATTATGACGAGAATCATCATTTCCAATTGTAAGGTACTTATATGTTTATTATGAGTAATCATATTATATAATTGAAGTACATTTCCATCATCAAAGTTACCTACGCATAAATATTAAATTTTATTACAATAATTTGCAACGCTTTCAAATGCTTTATTTTTTTCGAAACATTCGAAAGGTTTAATTCTAAATGTTCTAAATAAGAACCAACTTTCTGAAGTAATAAAGTAATTCTGTTGATTATACCAACTACATTTAAAGTTTTAATTTTTAATGGTGGTTTAGAAATATCAAGTAACGGTTGAAAAAATTTAGGATTTATTCCTTTACAATAAATAAATTGAAGAGATCTTAATTGTGTGAGACATTTAAAATGAGACGTTTAAATCACAAAATTTAAATTTAATTGAAGTTAATGAATTGGGGTATGATTTAAAAGAAGCATTTTATAAGGAAACTTCTGAATATTGAGCTGAAAGAGTCAAAAGTTGAGGTTGTGATTAAATTAAATCTGAAATAATTTCCGATGCTTCCAATTCATCCACATGAATATTTAAGATGTTTAATTGAAGATGTCGATGTTAAAAAGGATTGAAGTTCTCCCGTAGAAGAATATAATGTAACCTTTTCAAGTTTGATATAAACGTTGGATTATTCAAATTCAATTATGATGTTTGGTATTTATATATAATTCATTTAAGGAAGCATTATGAATAATGAATAACTTATATAATGAAATACAAACTAATTTTACAAATTCATAACCTTCTTGGGTATTAATAATAGTCCAGTTAGAAATGTACGATTCAACTTTATTTGTATTTATTACTTTAATAAAGTTGGGATAATTAAAAATTGGACTAAATGACAGATTTGTCGTAATTCTTAACTTTGCTTTATCTTCTTGATTAAAAAATAAAAAATAAATGTCAAGTAAACTAATTCCATTTCTAGGTTGACATTTTACCGAAAAAGGATCCTCCCAAAGTGTGGGAATTGCAACCCGACATAGATGTCGATTGACACAAAATGCACGAATGAATTGATTTTATATCATTTCGTAAATATTGTATAATAAAATTTGTTATTTCTGGTAAATCACCAGTGAAAATTTTTGAACATGACATGATAGGAAAGAGGAAGGAAGAAGAAAGAGAGACGTTTATTTGATTCACTAAAAATTTAGCCCATTCGAAAATAGTATGGTTGGCAGTGATCAGCAATTAAATTCTAGAGATTTACAATGATTTTTACCATTGTAATAAGTGGATGATTACACTTTATCATGTGGCCGAAGGCCACATGATATAATAGCATCCTATATGTGTGTAAATCCAAAAATGACCGATAATAAGGTTATTGAATATGTAAGACGTAAGCACCGATTCTTTTTTATATAAATATTATTGATCATTTAAACTTTTTTTCACTTTTTTCTCGTTTTTTTCGCAAAATTTTTAAAATTCTTCCACTTGTTTCAAAAAACTTTATAAAGAAATTATGAACTTTACAAAAGCCTCTCAACTTCAAACACAGGATGAAACCAATAAAGTACAACAAGTATCGCTAAAAAAAAAAAGACTGCAAATGGCTTCGAGTTGTTGAAAGATTAATAAAAGTTGTGGTATAAATGATTCGCCTATATCTACTGTTCAAACTCAAACTAAAGCTTCTGCAACACAAAATATTCAAAATTCAAGTTAATATATCAGGAAATGTAAAGACTTCAGTAACGGCACCTATTAAATCACCTTGTCACTCTAATTCTCCAATGATTACTTCTTATGGCAAAATCAAAAGCATTTTTCTAGTACTAATAACCGAAATCCTTTGTCTTACATTAATAACAATATAATTAAACTTCCGCCTGTTACTTTTTCACAAAGTTATAACCTAAATATTAATCTAAAACTAACAATTGTAAATAATATAATTACTTTAGTGATCAAAATTTGTGTATTCAATAATAAAGCAATCTAACTTTGTGTATTCTAATAGTAAGTAATAAACTTGAAAAAGGATCGGTGCTCACATAAGACGTATACAATAAGTAATTTTATTTTCAATGGAGAACTTGGAAAGAATACTTCTTTGTATTAGCTTTTTATTCTTTAAAGAGGGTTTCTTTTTTTTAAAAAATTAATTTATTGTGTCTTGGTATTTTTATAAACAAATAGTTTTCGATGTTTTAATTTAGATCACCATAAGGCGATAATTAATTTTGTTTTGATAAAAAGTAATAATTAAATTTCTTTATAATGTTCCAATTACTACATAAGAAATATTATAATCATTTTATATAAACATTTTGTACTCTTTCGTACTTTTCGATATCTATGCAATATTTCAATGATGGTAAATTACTATTTTTTTTTTTTTTATCAATGACATTAGTCATTTGTCGTGACATTGAAATTAAAAAAGAAAAAAGAAATTGTAACCATCTTATATAATGCATAACGATAACATATCATATTCAATCAATTTATATAAAAACTTTTTTAATTATAATCGACTCGACCTTCTCTGCCGAGGAGTTTGATTAGAACATCACATCAGAATTATATCCATCACCATTGGACATAAATTCGAAAGTAAATGTTTTGTTTATCCACAAAATGAAAATATCATGAACCAATAATGAGAAATAATGAACCATATCCTGGATATGAGCTCCTTTACAGTTCGTACTTAAAGAATCGTGAAAATCGATCGTATCATAATTTCTTGATCCGTCACCGAGACTTCAACGTTACTTCGTCGTTTTTGAAAATACTTGGAACGATCATTTACAAAAGAAATGTTGAACCAATGTACCTTTGTTTATTATTTATATTGTAAATTGAGGACAACTACTAGTCAAGCGCGTTTAACTTAAAAGAAATTACTGGGCTTGCTTGCGCGGTATGCACTTAAAGTCTTCAGTTCAGATTCCCTAACTTTATTGTTGGTATAGGTCTATACTGTATATACCTTTCTTTATCGCAAATAAACAAAAATAAACAGCTGGTGCATAGCTAACAAAATTCTTTCACATAACAGATGTACAGTGGTTAATACCGTGTTAGAAGAGGCTGATAAGAAAGAGAATCTACCGCATACAACTGGTTAGTCAAAATTTTTATTGTTAAATATCACAAGCAAACATTTCCTAATGTGAATTATACTAAATTTTTGCATAATCACCATCACACCATCAAAGCAAGAAGATTATCCTGATCTAGAAAGGAGTACCACTTTTACGAAAACAAGTAAAAGGAATTCAATAACGGTATTATGCGAACTAAGAGAAATTCAATTGGATTTCAAAAGATATCAAGTTAAAAGAAAGCCTGAATTTATCTACAATCAATATAATAAATTATTTGTTAGTAGTAGAAATGAAGACTCATGCGTTTTAAATTGGAGGTAGGTAAGTCACTTCATGAAAAATATGATGATCTTAGAGGAAATGTAGACAAACCATACCTCTAAACTCTGGTGAGGAAACATCCGTCATGGATCCCATGATTAGACAACCATATACTCAAAATCTGGTGCTAAATGTCCTATTGACTTATAGCAAAAAAACTGGTTCATTAAGGGGCCCAAAGGTGAACAATGTGCCCTTGAAAATTTCCGACAATGGACGATCACAGAATCCTTCAATTCTCAAATGCTACATGAGCAGAAACTAGATGTTCTAGTCTAGGGACAACACTACCATAGTTCATAATTAATATTTCCTCAAGCTGAGAAGACATCTAAGCGAAACTAGAGCTGCGACTCTTACCAATTTACTCAGATACAACCCGAATATACCTGGATAAGTATCCGGGTCTTAAGATAATAAATGGGTAAAAACGGGTAATATTTGCAGTTATTATTAACAATGTTTGTTCCACATTTGGAAAGGGATTTGTTGTAAAATATACTACTGCGCATTTTGCGTTATTTGGTAACATTGCGATATATATTTTTAATTTTAAATAATATTTATATGACAATGTATAGAGACGATATTTGAAGAATTTTTTTTTATATGAAAGTTTCTAAAAACGTTAGTTTTTTAATGTGACAATTAAGTTTAATTGTCAATAAAAAAACATGATACTACTTTTTATAAATAAAGAAATAAAATTTCACGATCTCGGACTTTCATATATTTTTAAAAAAAACTTTGATATAAATATTTTAAAAGTAATATTTTTTTTACTTTCTCCATAGAAAGTTAAAAAAATGTGTTAGCCAAACTGCGTTATAGTTATTTTAAATCGTTTAGTTGACGCAGCATAAATCCAAAGCCTCATCATTGTCTTCTCTCATAATCACCAATTCATCGATCCTATTTGAATTTTTTTTTTCAAAAATTGTAGTTATTTATATTCTTCATATTTAAACACACTAAATAATTTAGTACATTTATTATTGGATAATAACAAAATTGATTTGGAAAAGATATATTTCAAAATTGAGCATTAATCCACCCAAAGTAAGAATATATTTGGTTAATGCTTTTATCAGATAGATGCATTAGGATTTAAATGTGATTAAATTAATATAATATATTTTGTATACTTCAATCTGAAATTATTTTTCTTAAGTATTGGACTTTATATCCCATATAATATACGCAAAATTTATCATTCTTTTACTAAATATTGAAAAATTGCAAAAATATTTTCGCTATTAAATTTTAGTATTATTCATTCAGTTATGTAAAAAATAATATTTGATTTTAATTTTTACTTAGAATAAACCACTTGTGTGACTGAGAATTAATTTCACTCCGTCTTTATATATACATTTAAGGTTAAACTTGCTGCACGCCGGACCTTTGTCTCCGAAAAAAAATAATAAATACAATATCGGAAATATTTTCACTTTTAAATCAAATTCATAAACAAAAATGGAACTTACTAAAAATGAGACATTTGACCCAACCCCAAATTTAAAATCTAGCCCTGTGCCAATTTTGTTTGTTTCATTTAATGAAAATGACTTCAGTTGCAATTATTGTGGACTAATCTTTTCTAGAACACTTGTTGATTTTGACAGATATTGTAAAAGCTGCCTAACTTGGTCTATTAGGTATTTAACCGATAATAATAATAATAATAATAATATATACTTGAATGTTTGTATAGGTACAAATAACACTCGATGTAGTGAACATGAACCAAGAAATTCAGATTTTTTGTTGCATAAAATTCAAGAATGGTGTTTTTATTGCTCGGAAATTTTATACATTGAACGAACTTCTTATAACTATAAAAGCCGAATTACTCGAAATTATGTCAATGCGTGTCTTCTATGTGGAAAAGGTTTATCGGATTGAGATACATGTCCTAATTGTTATTTGGTTTCTGATGGACGGACAGGATCAACAGTCCTTAAAAAATCAATTCCAATAATTTATTTGCCATTGTGGGATGCCAGAAGCTCTTGTATAATCTGTCATAGAGAACTAAATTTTGAAACAGATTGTCAAAAGTGGTGTTCATATTGTTTTATAATATATACCGGATGCAGATATTGCTTGACGACAAAATTAATATTTGGAATTACCGACCAATCTCAATGTAGGAGATGCAAGAGAGTAGATTCAATCACTATTGATGTCACAAATTTCATTGGAAATTCTATCATGGATGAACTTATCTTTATTAATTACACACAAATTAACATTGATAAATTTATAAGAAATACACTTAAACCCACGGATTTTCGTTCGTTTTGGTGGATTCCATATTCTCAAATTACAAGTTTAGAAAAAATAGCGGAAGGAGGATATGGCATAGTTTATCGAGCAACTAGATTAAATCCTTATAGCAATAGAAGTGAAGTTGTTGCGATAAAAAGAATCTTACACTCTCAAACTATCAGTAAAATTTTTTTAAATGAGGTAATTATTTAATATTACTATTATAAAAGACATTTTTACTTTATATTTTAAATTATTTTGCTATTATAATAATTTTAGTTAAATTCGTTATACAAATTGAAATTCTTTCAAAATGTAATTCTATGCTATGGAGTTACAAAAGATCCCGAGACAAAGGAGTTTATGTTAATAATGATGTATGCAAATGGAGGTGATTTGCATAATTATTTACAAAAAAATTTTAAAGATATTACATGGGATGATAAATTACGTATTTTATTTCATATTTCACTAGGGTATTTATATTTTTAATTATATTTATAAATGTTGATTAAATAATTAATTAACATACTAAATATATATATACTTTTTAGACTTTGTGTTATTCATAAAAACAATATTATACATCGAGATCTTCATAGTGGAAATATATTAAATATATCAAAATATGCTTTTTCGAATTGGTGTATTGGAGATCTAGGATTATCACAACCCGCAGATGGTTCGCTAAATAATGAAATATATGGAATTATACCTTATATAGCACCTGAAGTATTTAAGGGTGTTAAGTTTTCAAAAAAATCTGATATTTATAGTTTGGGTATGGTTATGTGGGAATTAACATCAGGTTGTAAACCTTTTGCCAATGTTGAACATGATCATAATCTTATATACGCAATTATTGATGGAAAGCGGCCTGAAATTACTCAAGATACTCCTGAATTCTATGCAAATTTAATGAAAAGATGTTGGGAACCTGATCCTTCAAAAAGACCTTTAATTACAGAAATTTATAGTATAATTTCTGGATGGAGACCTTTCTATCAAGAATTTAAACAGGCTGAAATGAAAAGATTGGAATTGATACGATCTATGAAACTTGGTCCTAATTTTAGTGAGCAACCTCATCCAAAAGCAATTTACACGAGTAGGGCATTAAGCTCTATGACTATTAAATCCTCAATTAGTTGTTCATCGTTGAAAAGTGAAGGTATTCTTTAATTAATTTAATAATTATTATTGATTTAAGTTATTTTAGATTAACTTTGTTTGATGTTACCTTATTTAATGATTTAAACTTATTTTTTAGAATACATTTCAAAAGAACAAGAGTTTGACATAAATAATATTCAAAATGCTTTTGTTATTAAGCCATTAAATACATTTACTTTAACAATAAATTCTTCAAATAAGCGAAAAATAGATGAGTTAATAAATAAAGATCAATGCAATAATGGTAATCTTTACCTCATTTATTTATCTGCATATAATATTTTATATTCGATTATTTATTTTTTTTTTTTTTAAAAAAAAAATTTAAAAACAGGAAAACGTTTCAAAATTGACGATAATATGGATCCAAAATTTAAGGATTGAAGTTGCAGTACTTTTTTTATGGAAAGTTAATTTTCAACGATAATATAATTCTTGTATCACTTTTAAAATATATAATCTGATTAGTATTGAGCATCCTTATCTAGATAGTAACTTTAAAAATTAAGTCTCAATCAAATTTTATTGTTATCACATCTAACGAAAAAGTATTAGCTGAAATGGTCGTTATTTAAGATTTTAAGATTATAAATGTCATTATAAATAAATTAAGTCAACCATGTCTAAAACATTATAGTTATATTTATTACGATTTAATAATGCAAGAAAATAATAAACGAATAAAAAATTCGAGTCAGTTTTAATTGATAACTATTATTTTTCATAATAATATAATTTGCGTAAGTGACTAAAGGAAAGGTAATCATTGTTTTTTTATTATACATGATTATAAGAGGCTTATTCAAGCTCTAATTAATTTACTACTAAATACTTGTAAGTTATCACAAAAATAAAAAAAATGACCGAAGAGTAAAGTGCTATATCTTTAGTTGCATTTGAGCATTAATTTCGTCGATTTCTTAAATTGAATCCATTAGACAAATACTAAACAAACATTTCTAAAATGGGCCGGTAGTTTGGGCAGGTTAATAGACATCTGACGTGACGCCAATCTGAATCACAATAATTATTCGATTAGTAGATTAATGACTCAAGAGCTAAGCACCAATTAATGAAAAAATTGATTTAAATCATAATATTGTTAACATTTTACAAGAGTTAATACATGTTGAGGAGTCATAGAGGTTAGTTAAGAATATTAACCATTAAACCCTTCTGAATTAGCTATAACTTAAAAAGTCGTTTAAGTTCGGAAGTTTAACATTCCATCCGGTTTTCGAAAATAATCTACGATATCACCATCTAATGATAAATAAATTTTAAGGTCAATAAACTTTTAAATTTTATGATAAAATTCCTTATAAACATGTGATACAAATAAATAGCGGAACAATGCTAGAATAAATCAATAAAATCGTTGAAAGTTAAATAAAATAAAAATAGTAAAAAAACAATTTGTGCACATAACACACGCAACGAAATCCAGAATATGGAAATAAAATTTAGATGCAAAAAATCTTTCAAATTGAAATTTGTTCACTGACTCGGATTTATCTTTTACCGAATATCGGAAAAACATTCTCTTAAATTTGGATTCAATAGAGTATTTTAAATTTAGATTTTATTGGCACTTGATAAATCTAGCGACAAATAAGTTTAGCTATAAATGTTGCACTTGTTAATCTCCTCAGAACTAATATCAAGGAATACTCATTCCATTAAATTTTTCTCTAATCAACCATTGTAAGAAATATTGTAAATTTGATTCACTTTTTGTATAAATAAAAAATTATTTTTTATTTTAATTATAATTTCGTTGAACGGATGTTTTGAAACAATACAAGTAAAAGCCAGCCTGGCAAATTATCTTCAAAGGATTAACAACAAATATCGAAAGTGATTCTCATATGGAATTGTGAAGATTTCACGCGAAATTATATTCAATATAACACTAGTTTGTATTCCAAAAGCGTAAGCTTTTAGATATATTTGAAAAAATAGGTATTTTCATTCATCTTTTGCATTCATAAAAAAAAAAAAAATAAAAAATTAGTAAAAAGAATTTTGTGAAAAAATAAAAGATAGTGAGAAATAGAAAGTCAGTTTATTTCTAGATTTAAATATAGTATTTGAGGGGAGAAGTTAGTAAATTTTAATTTATTTAAGGATAATGTTTATACAATATATCTAAAATTTTAAATTATTCATGATTATTATGTATTAATATAAACAAGTTTAAAGAAGTTAATTAATTGTCATATTGTAAATTTGTAAATTAAAGATGTATAATTGAAAATATCATTGTAAAAAATGTAAAAGTAAACTTGTATTGAGGAAAGCATTTATCATTTTTTAAATTAATTTATTTTGATTAAACAAAAATCAAAATTGAATCTCAAAGTCGAATTTTGAGAAATAATAAATCAATTGAAATCGATTTTCAATCCTACTTTAAGTTAACAGAAATTTTCTAAAGAAGTTTTTGTATACTAGACTTATCACTCTATAGTTAAATAAAAATACTAATTTATATTTGCAATCTATTTCTTATAATTATATAAAATTTGATTATAATATAAGAATCATAAAAATTGTTTATTAAATTTAATTTTTATTAAAAAGACGAAGTTATTTAAAATATTAGTTTACTTAGCTGTTAATTTAGTTTTAGTATAATTTTAGGTCCAATATTATTTATGAAGTTGACTTTAAATTAATATTATTATATTAAAATTCTTAAATTTATGAAAATAATCAAGAATTTTTTCAGGGGGATAAATTAAAGATGATTGGGATTTTCTACGATATTGAAAATTGACGAAAATAATCATTGAAATAATTGTAATGAATCTTTCTTTATATATGCAAAAAATCTTTACCTTTCTTTAGAGGACAAGCTTTTCACAAGGCGGTATAATTATTTTATTTAAAAAAAAGGAAAAAGCAATTTATGTGACATAATATTATATAAATCGCAGCCGCAGCCGATGCTTAAAAAGCATATGATTGCTTTTTGACATCATAACTGTAAGTATAAAAGTTTATGCTTTTTAATAGTTTATAAAGGAAATGCTTTCTTTTTTCTTTAGCTTATTTGAAAAGAACTTTGTCAGCTTTTCGAAGGTGTTATATTTCGAATTTTTTTTTTGATTTTTTTTTGTTGAAATCAACGTTCATTTTATAATTTGTAGGTTTCAGTACAGAATTACAAAGTTATTTACCTTCGGGTTTGTTTTTTTTAAAACGAAACGGTTCTAACTTTTTTCTTTGAGTTTTAGGAGCTTTAGGCGTTACTTTTACGGAATTTTAAAGGCAAATTATTTTTAATTTTTATTCTTTTTTCATGCAAATTATATTAATTAACATTGCAAGTTTTCAAGAGGATTTTTGGCTAATTTTAAGGTATTTACATTTGAAAAGATTTTTCTTATAATCTTTTTTAAAAAACGTTTCTTATCATTTTAATTTTTTTTTCTTTTTTGTAGCCTTGGGAGTTTTACGGAAATTTTCTTTAATATTTTTTTTTTTTAACGAAATGTTAAAGTCATTTTATTTGATTATTTTTTAGCTTACAGTTGTTTATTAACTTTTTTTGACGAAATGCTTTCTAATATTTCGTTTATAGGTTTCGAAGAGCTTTTGAGCGTAATTTCGAAGGTAAATAATTTTGAATTTTTTTTATTAATTTATTAATAAACGTTTGTTCCTTTCCTTTTCTTTAGTTCTAGTTAGGTTCAAGAGGAATAAAAGGTAAACATTGTTTTATTACTTTTTGTTTTTTAACGAAAAGTTTATCAACTATTGTTTTTGTTTTTTATTCTTTCTATGTTTCAAGCGGGCTGCTTTTAGACATAATTTCAAAGTTATATAAACTATTAATTTTTTTATTAAACAAAATGTTAACTTACGTTTCATTTATTTCTTTTCTACATAGATCAGTTCAGGTTTGGAGAAATAAAGTTAAGTTTCGTAAATAGCCGTTATGAATCTTTTTCTTTAATTTTGCTTTTTTTTAACAAAATGTTAATAAATGTTTCTTTCTATAGATTTAGTGATTAAAATTTTCCTGATGTAGATAAACTTAAGTTAAATTGAAAGAAAAAGTGCTAAACTTTTATTAGTAAATATATGTCATAAACTCAAATAGCTTAGATATATTTTTGTTTATTAAAAAAGGACTATTTAATTTAAAAGTGAAGTGTTTTAATTTTTTATTGTTATATAATCATTTTTTTTTATAAAGATAATATATTAGATTTGTATTTTATTTACTTTAATTATTTAGGTCATCATTTTTAAATCTAGTCAAAATTCTTCAAATATCCAATCTTCAAAGGCCGTTGATATTAATATGGCATCATGTACATATAATTAATCAAAAATTTTTCAAAAAAGCATGGTATTGAAGAATTAAAATTGAGACCCAAAATAATAAAGGTAAATTAACTTTATATATATTTTATGTTACATATAGTATATCTTGTTTTTTAAAATAGATTAGGGAAATTTTCAAAATTTGAATGAGGTATTGTTATGCGAAGGTTTTCAGATAGTTAATTGACGAATTTTCTTTCAATATCAGTTCATTTCAACGATCTATTTGTCAAATAAATTAAAAAATATCTCTGATTAAGCGCATTAAATAAAATTTTATTTTATTATTTTTTAAATCATGATGGTCAATAATTCTGATAGTATTCAGAATGTAACGTTAACTGCAACTAACAAACGATTGCTAAATTATATGCTTTGTTTTCAAGTTTACAAAACGTTCAAGAAATTTATTGGGAAACGATTTGAGCTCATAATATAAATAAATAAATACATACGGTGATATAAAATTTGTAAAATGAACTATAATTTTAAGGGGTGAAATTAAAAATATTCCGTTATTTACATAATATCTTAAAAGAAAATTAATTAAATGAAAGAATTAATATTGTTTTATTATTTCCTCATTACATTAATACCATTTTAAAGTTATTATCAAACAAAAATTTTTTTTTTTAACAAAATGATGGCGCTTAAATCACTTCAAGCAATTTAGTGTAATTTTCTATGCAGGAGCAAGTCTCAAGACAGACGGAAAAAAGAAAATTAAATGATGAAGCTCGGTTTTTAATCTTAGGTCCTAATAATAATGTTCGCGATTAATAATATATTATTTATAAATAAGATAAGAACTACTAGGTAAAACAGGTAAATTTATCTTTCTTGCGTTCCTCTATCAATCCCTTTCCATTTTACCGAACATTCATATTCCTAGCAGTATATCAAGTGGTTAATTAGCGATCCAACAGACATTAACGAAGGGCACCTTAACACGAAGTGGATCCAAGCAGTTACCTGATACTGCTTCTGAATCAAAATGTGCTCGATAATCACTTTGCAAAATATAAAAAAAGAATCGCACCTTTTCTTTTAAAGCATTAAAAACAATTTGCTTTAACTGCTCTTTTGCCTCCACTAAAAAATGATCGATCCAAGTCTTGTTAAGAGCCTTCCAGTCATTCGAAAATGACGATGTAACGATGACATCGCAGTGGTTTCCCTTTTCCCGTTGTTTAAAGTAAGAGATAAGAACTAGAAGTCGAAAGGCAGGTTAAAAGCTAAATAATTTTTGCTGGGAAATTTGAATAGTTATCTAGGGCTTAAGATTTACTTGTCTTCATGTCCAGGATATTTCTCATTTGTAGTCATTATTAAAATTCGAAATCGTTGGATAAATTCGAAAAAATAATTGACTCTCGTTGATAGTAAATTCGAAAGTATAAATTCGAAAAAAAAATAAGTCTCGTCTCGGTAAATGAATTATAGATAGAAGAAATAAGACGTACAAAAACATTTGTTGTCTTATTCTTCCCTTACGAAACAGAGCTTAAAATCATCAAATCACGAGTCAATATTGTCATATGGTAAATTGGTTAATCTCAACCAGCATCCGGGGTTTTGACATATTATAAATTATTTCCCCACTCATTTCCTTTTCTTTTAGGTTTTGTTTTTGGAACATTAAGGGTAAGTTGGCTTATTTTTTTATTTATTAATTTCTATCTCAATTTCTTTTTCTTTCTTTTAGGCAACTTTAGTACTTTTTTGTGGTAATATTTGGTATTATTTATCTATTTTCATTTCTTTTTTTAATAGAAATAATTGTTATGTGTTTTTTTTATTTTAGTATAAGTGGTCCATTATGTCTTTTTTAACAAATTTTCGGTTGTATATTCAAACATATTTTATTGGTTTTTATTATTTACATGTATATCTGTATAATTAGTTATTTATATAAGAAAAATCTTTATTTAAAGCTATAAAAATAAAATAGTTTATTTTCATATTTATAATTTCACAAAATACAAGTTTCAAATATTTAATATTTTAATTTGAAATTACTCCCTTCGCGAATAAATTCGTATCAAAAGCCAAAAAAATAAATTCTAAGACAAAATTTGCGGATGTAACACATTATTGACTTATCTTAATAAGAAATGGGTAGAGGTTAAGGTTCCCCATGGTATTATTTTATTTTAAGAAAAATATTTTTTGCACAATTTGTTTCCTAAATTTTAGGTCGAACAATTCGGAACAGGTTTTAAAGGAGATGGCATATCATAATTTCTCGATACAACAAAGCCATTAATTAGAACATGGCAAACTTCGGATCCTCATCATTCACTAAACTGATAAAATGAATATTTCTCCGGTTCGAAACCTTTAACCATCCACGTATCAGGATACATGAAATTTTACGCAGTGTATCAAGCAGCATCACGTATTGATTCTCGCAGAGCCAAAACAAACGCAATTATATTTCGGATATCAGGCGAAGAATCTTTCGAAATTATGGGTCGGGTATATACAGACAATAACATTGGCTGGCGAAATTTGAAGGGTGAGGAAAATTTTAAAGGTGTATTGAAAAATTTGGTTCAATTACAAATATTTTATTTTTTTGCAGAAATTAAAGCGCAATTTTGTTTAACCATTAGAAATAGATTATCAAATTCAAGAATCAGTCAAAATTAAGCTAAATTTATGAATCACATGAGGTGGATAAGTTGATGAGTACCTGTTCTTTTTATTTTTAAAAAATAAAATGATTAATAATAAGTAATTCAATCGCGTGTTAAATCCATGTTGACAATTAGCACTAGTAAAGATTGAAAGCATAACACCTTGTAATATTTCAAAATTTGAAAAGTTGCTTTCAAAATGTGATTTAAAATTAATCATACATCTTGAGAATGAACAAGACACGAAAATAAAAAAATTTGGACATCTCGTCGAAGTTTCCCTTCATCAATTTTAAGAGTAAACCCACTTACTTCAGAATAACATGATGTCATGCATCATTTGTTATCTCATCAAATAGAAGCTCTTGTAATATTAAATATTTTTAATTAAATGAATCGGTATAAATTATATTATAGTTAATCATATAAAGTATATGTTTTAAAAAATTAAAATAACTAACCTCTATAATATTTGAATTTAAATTGTATATATTAAAATAAAATGACTTCAATCTAGTATAGTTTATTATCATTTTAATTCAAAAAAAAAAAAAATAAAATTATTGTAGCTTGAAATGATGAATATGTATAATATATTTTTTTATTAATTGTTGATATATAAAGTTAAATAAAATGAACGAATGTGGTTAAAGAATAAATATACGAAATTACAATCTGAAATTGCGTTTATTAATTTTGAATATCTTCTCAGGCCCAATTGTCAAATAACTTTTTAACGCGCTAAAATTCAATGATGCATACTAACTTATTCGTTCAAGCAAATATACCTTTAAGTGGGATTTTGTAATGTTGCCTTATCAATTTTGTTAAGAGAAAAAAATTAGATTTACAAATTTTTTAAATCAAGTAACAGGGTGAAATTAATATTGAATAAATTTATTATCGATTTTATTATATATGAATTCGCAAATATCCACCGCATATACTGTATTTAATATTTAGTATAATCCATTTTAGCAGAAATATCTGCTTGATTTCTAGGAACTAATTAGTCATCGTTATATTTCTTCGGAGATTAACTTCCATTCTTCGATAAACATTTTTTCAGTTCTTGAATCTTCGATGGTCCGGGGTTGCATTTTATTTTCGAAGTCCTGATTCAAAAATTGACGAAAGTCCTCAATATGGTTGAGGTCAGGGCTTTGAGGTAGCCACTGTAAAAGTGGTCCAAGACAAAACCATGAAAAACATTCGCTTAGAACTGTGTTTTACGTGATACAATCTTCATAAAATCCTTCATCCGTCTTCGCCAAATTCTACCCCACATTGCAGTTTCAAATTGAGAGACATAAAGTATATTGATTGATATTTCCGTAATTATGTTGATTTTCAAACGTGCTTTATAAATTAAATGCCGCACTATTTTGATTATTTTATTTATGACTATGGTCATTTGATCTCAATGAAACAGACAATATCCAGGTAGGGTACGATAATATTATTTTATTGTAACTTTATGCTTTAAGCAATCAGCTTAATGGACAGGGTTTAATATATAGAACTTTTTTTAGGCGGGCTGGTTTTCGGTATCGGGGCGCAGCTTTATATCAGGTAAGTAAAAGATTACCCGATTCGACGCGCGCCCAACGTCGAAACTAATGCTAGCTAGGTATTTCAGTATAATTAAATATCCCATAGAAATGGATTAAAAAATAAATTCAATATATTTGTAAAAAGTATTTGTTTTACTTTGGAAATTTTTATGTGATCTTATATTATATTATTTTCAAACTTTAACATGAACAATAATTTGGTTTTGAATTCTGACTCAACCTTTTAGAATTTATCTTTCCTCACAAACTGATTATATATATATTGTCTTTACTCACCATTTTGTTCATCCATTAGTCTTGTCAAGGGAATTTTTTTTCTTTTCTATATAAATACAATGCATTATTTTTCTTTCTTTGTGTACAAATTTTTATCCACTCAGATATTTTAAGTCTATATTTTTATTTAGTAGTCGCGTATTTTTTTTACTTCATACACGAAAACTTACTTTTTAGATGGTGACGACCTGTATATTATGGACCAGACACAAGATACACTATATACGAAGATCAAATTCCGTTTGTTTCTACACCATAAATCCTTTTACTATTGCGAACGTCACCATAAACTAAATATTTTCATCTCCAGCATTACAACTAACATTGACGTCTATAATTACCAATCTTCATCTTCACAGATTCCGTATATAGAGGTTGAAATTGGTTAATTTTAACCGGTTAATTAACCTGTTAAAATAAATAACATGTTAATCAGATAAAGATTATTTAACCGGTTGATAGATAAATTCAATTCCGGCCGAAATTCAATTTCCGTCCAGAATTAAGATTTTACGGTTCAAATATATTTCTAACTCTTAGGGATGAAGAGATTTTGGTACAAATATCATCATGATGAAAAATTGCAAGCTAATCTTACATGAGAATCAATCTATATTTTTTTATGCATTAAGCTTTTGATAATTGCTCTTCCAAAGTTATCCTACTTAGGAAAAGAAAGACCTGAATCGTCTGATGGCAACTTATAATGTTGTTTATATTAGAATATATTCTTCATTAGTAAACTACAACAAAAGAGTTACGTATTGTTTCATTTTATTTGTACAAATAATGATAATTTCTAGCTTATAATAATAACTTATAAGGAATCGAACATATAAACTATAAGTGAGGTGATGGAAAAATGTATTGTTCATGATTACTACGAGCAAAATCAGTGATTTCTTTCTTCTATATGGTCTCTCAACCCAAAAATTGATTTGAAGCTTTAAAAACCTAGAATCGAGAACTTTTACGTGGATATAATGTTATAGAAGGATGTACTTTATAAAGTAATAACGGTAAAACTTTTTATGTAAATAACGCAATTACGAACAAAATAATTAATTTAATATTTTATGTTATTTGAAGTAAACTATTTTTACCTTGACCACCTTCAAAAATACAGAGATTGAGTGATTTGTAAATTATACTCTTCAAATTTAACACTTTAAGATGTACCAGCACAATTTTTCCCAAATTATAACCTTAAATTTTATAGAATTCATTTATTATTACCAACCTCCTTCCCAATTTCATCATGTCAAAATATTTGATTTTACACCCTTAGTTAATATTTAAAATA